CACCCTCGGGAAACACATGTTTTACCTGCCCTGGAAGACTCTCACCACCGGTGGATCTTAGGACGAGCCACAAGGCCCAACATCAAAGCCTACTTCGCCATTTCTCTTCAGAGAAGCCTTAAATGAGACTTGGAAGACCTTAGGACATATAAATACATTGTTTAGCATCCCTAAACGGGTGTGTGCTCCTGTAATGAGATTTTGAGCCACCAAACTCTATTTTACTAGGGTTAGGCGATGGAGATGGGGATTCTTCCCCAGATCCATCGTTCTTCCTCCTTTCTATTTCATTAACTTTTCTGTTTCATTCTTTTGCATTCATCTATGTCTTTCATCATTCATTGCATCATGTAGATTAGTCCCAGAGAGTTAAGTTGTTTGAAGATATCGACAAGCATATATATCGATCAGGATTTCTATTGTTCTAGACCATATTTTGGATCTCATCTCTTCTAAGTTGTTCATAAAGCATGAGAGTAGATTCATGACCTATTCTCTGAGCCTAGGACCGATCAGAGCCACGAGAGTGCTGTATCAGATCATCCGTACCTAGCTTCAGAAGAACATAGTCGCTATAGGAATCGAAAGCTACCTATAGAGAAGTTGTGAGCAGACGAATTCAATGTCTAATGCATGATCTTAAGTTTAGCATGAGAGCGAGAGTTAATTGCTATATCTAAGTGATTAGTTGATTAAGGTAACGACAGTTGGTTAATCCTACATATGTCTATTCTAGTTCCATGCAGATTCCCATAAACAGATGAAGATAAATCGCCCGGAAGCTAATTGGAAATGTCATCATACATCGATTAGAGTAAACCGGAGAAGTCTAAATCGCCACCTATGAGTTTAAGAGTCTTTAGTTTGAGTCGATATGCTTTAGATGTTCTTTTAACGATTCATCATGCATTGCATTTTATTTCTTGTGAATATTAGATTAGGTTTAGTTTAGGATCTTAACCAAAAACCCCAAAACTTTTATTGGTTTATGACTTTGCTTATTTTCCAGTTTGTTGTTTCTCGCAGATTAGACATCCTTCCTGTGGATCGACACCCTAAGTCCTATAACGTACATCTGTGCACTTGCAGACACTAGGTTTTATAAATTTAAAAATTTTGGAGGACCAACGGGCTTGTTAAAAAACAACCCTAGGCCTGCAAGCCCATCAATATATATATTAAATATGTGCATTCAATTTACTAAATATGTGATAGTTTTGATTATTTGGATAGGCATAAGATTTTTTATATTAAAGCATAAAATTTTGTATATTAAAAGTTACAGTTTTTTTGATAAAAATATATAGTACATAATATTCTTATAGAAATATTCTTATAGAAGTCAATTTTTATAAACAACTTGACAAACTTACTAACTATAACAACTAATAATATTGTAATAGTTAGAGAATAACAAATACTCTTATTACTCGTCAAATCTGATGAAATAAAACATATTACTTCTCATATGTTTTGTCAAATCCGAATGACGTGTTTAGAAAATTAAAAACAAATAAGTAACAAAAAATTTTAGCAAGACCGTTGGTTTTAATGTTGGCTACTTTGTTTTGTTACTTGAATTTCCTGTCATGTTCTTTATTGGAACACTTATAAATTTTACTCGTCTTAAGAGTGGATATAATTTTTATTGTTTAAAGACACTTATTTGTATGTAAATAATGTGTTTGTAGTCTCTATTGGAACATTTCTAAATTTTGTACTCGTCTTGAAAGTGGGTATAATATTATTTTTTTATGATGTTTAAAGATACATATTTGTATGTAAATAATGTGTTCATATATGCTAATTCAGGTTCCTGAGAATTAACCTTATAATATTAAAATTAATAATACATTTAGGATATTACAGATCTTGATTTGTTCATATCATAAAATGTATGTCTATTTAACATATTGCATTCTGTTTACATTGACTTTTGTAATTTAATATACTAAACAAAATCTTGATATGCTATTAAATCCAAACACAAAGCAGTTTATTAGATGACGTAAGATTGATTCAGAATGTAATTTGAATCCATTAACAGTTGACATAACAAAATACAAAATTAAATTTTGAAACAGAATAGAACATTAAACCAGGACAAAAAAAAATGTATACAACCAATCAAATTCTTCCAATTTCACTTCATAATCACTTTGTTATAGAAAACGAAAAAACTTATTTATTGTTGAGCCTTACTTTGGTGGCACTTTAAACTTGGAGGGCTTCTTGCACATATGACCTCAAAATTGAAGTCAAATGCAAATCTAATCTCTTTTTCTCCCTCTTCAATATTAGCCAATTTCTCCCCACTTTCTCCCTAAAGCCACATATAATAACATAAATGCCATTATATTTATAATTATCGAATTTTTTAGGTAATTCGAAAAAGACATAACCATCCTAAGATATTTCAAGTATTCACGAAAATGCAATCATCTTCAATTTCGCCAACTACCATTACCAACCAAAATGGAAGCTCTTAATGCTTGCCCATCTGCACTTGAAGCTCTAAATTCTTATTTGGCCGCTCAAACTTCATTCTATCTTCAAATTTCTATCTGGTTTCATCTAAAAATCTCTTTCTTGGTCGACATTGTTATGTTTGAATTCGCAAATCATATATTTTGTGAGATTCTTAGATAACCGAGTTCTGGGCTGGTTTCCTTTCAGTGCATCTCAAAAATTCTGAACTTCTGTCAAAGTTAATCGAGTTCAAATTGGAAGGAGGTAAACATCTAAATCTTTTCTTTAACATTGGGCTATGTTTCGCGAAAGTAGACTTCTTTTACAGTCTTCTAGTCAACGTAAAAGGTTAGATTTGCAATTGACCTTTTGGTATATTTTTGAAAGTAGACTTCTTTGTAAGTCTGCGAATTTTCATTTGAATACAAAAAAAACAACGTTTAGACTTCTATTTCAGGCTGTCGAAAAGCGAGAATAGTTTTGCATTTGACCGGAAAATATTATACTTTGACCTTTTCTGCAGACTTCGTGGAGACGTCTGAAAAAGATAAGTTTGACCTGAAAGGTTATTTTTGCATTTGACCAAGATGTTGACCACCTTTGACTGTTCGAGCAGACGTCTAAAGAAGTCAGCTATTAATTTAATTCAGAATTGGTCAAATGCAAAAATAACCTCTAAAGAAGTCTGCTACGAAAGTCAAACTTTGGTCAATTGCAGAAATAACCTGCAGCAGACTTCGTTAGTAGTGTAGACTTCGTCAGCAGACTTCACATTAACAGAAGACTTCTTGCCTCTTACAGCAGACTTCAAAAGAAGTCTGCTGTAAAAGTCAAACGTTTGGTCAATTGCAGAAATAACTTTTTTCTTATGCAGACTTCATATAGAAGTCTACTACGAAAGTCAAACATTTGGTCAATTGCAAAAGTAACCATGCCTTTTTGGCAGGCTTCTTCGTGAAAGCAACCGAGTGGAGTTTTGCTGGAAGTCTGCATTTTTTTCGTTTTTAAAAAGCACTTTTTTAAAACTTTTGTGTGATGAAATTTTTTTTTTAATTTTTATTCTTGTTTAGAAGGTATATTTCCTTTACCTGTATTAATTTTGTATGCTTATGTGTTATACATTAATAGTTATAATTTTTGTAGATTTGAACGGTAATTGGCACAGATTAGCAGACTTCATAAGAAGTCTGCCTCTGAAGTCTGTCTAGCGAAGGAGAATAACACAGCAGACAACACTTGAAGTCTGCCTAATTATTTTAACAAAAAATTCGTTTTCGAATTAATGGTATATGCTAAAATAAATATATTGTTTGGACATGTTGATCTGCCTTTCTTGGTTCCATATACGTGAGTTTCACGTTGATATGTGTTATAATTAGAAAGTGATGAATTTTCTTGAATGTTTAGACGTTTAGCCGATTATAGCAGACTTCTAAAGAAGTCTGCTATATGTTACTTGGAAAACACGGTTTATCTTGTGTGGTTTACCTTTTTTGCAGATGGCGGCTCAGTTGCCTGTTGTATTTGGAGAATGGGTTATGAGTGCTCAGTCGTGGCATTTTGAGGTGGATAATCGCAAAGGAGGGAGGTTGTTCTTCTTGAATGATGGTTGTACACATGGAGAACTCGTAGCTATGGCTCTAGATGATTACATGCTGGATGGAAATACGGACAGCGTGTCTATCACTTATGCATTGCCAGATTCAATGTTAGCAAACATGGCTTCGGATACCCCTCCTATGCATATTACTAATGATAGACAAGTACAGAGCTTGATTGGGTTGAGTAAGACGCATGTTATACGTCTTTGTGTATCTAGTCGCAAGGACAATGATGGACGTACTGGTGGTGTTGATGCTGCTGATGGGTGTTCTGTTGAAGGTGGGAATCAAAATACTGAGGAAGGTGAAGATGAAAATGTCGATGAGTATGATGATGATGAGATAAACGAGGACATCAAAAATGATTCAGTAAAGGAGGAAGACGGTACTGACTCTGAGGGTCAGGACTCTGAGGATCAAGACTACAGCCAATATGGGAAAGTGAAGGATGAGGATTCAAATTCTGATTCAGAGGGTGAGTGGATTGAAGAACCGGTGAAGGCTCCTCAAAGAGGATATGAAAGAAATTGGGTTGACAAAATAAAAGTAAACGGAAGTTTTGCTACAAAAGACGACCTGATTTCTGAGATCAGGTTGACGGCTGTTATGTTGAAGTTTGCATTCAGATTTGATAAGTCATCGAGACGTCTGTTTGTTGCTAAATGTGCTGTTAAAGGATGCCAATGGAGAGTTAGAGCAGCTGTAAAGAACGAAGCAAAGACGTTTTGGGTCACTAAATATGTCAAAACTCATACCTGTTTAGTTTCAGATCGGTTGGCTCACCGAAAGCATACGACTCCAAGATACATTGGAAAGTTATTTATAGAGCATGTGGGAATAATTGATGGGATTACTGCAGAACACATCAAAGATTCAATGCAGGCGATGTTTCAATAGAAAATAGACTACACAACTTCGTATAGAGCTTTGATGTATGCACAAGAATGTGTGAGGGGAAGCCCTGAGGATGGATATAGCCGACTGCCTTCTTATTTGCGTCTGATCGCTGAAGCAAATCCGGGTACTATAACTGCCCTTGAACGCGACAGTCAGAATAGGTTCAAGTACCTATTCTTAGCCTTCAGAGCCTCCATAGCTGGTTTTCAATATCTCATATGGGTCATTGTTGTCGATGGGTGTCATCTGACTGGAAAGTATGAAGGGACTCTGCTAGTGGCCACAGCACAAGATGGTAACTTCCAGATATTTCCACTAGCTTTTGGAATAGTGGACTCTGAGAATGATCACGCATGGGAATGGTTTTTTAGAAAATTGCGGGAGTATTTTACAGACGAGTATCCGTTGGTGATAGTTTCAGACCGGCATCATTCCATTAAGAAGGCATGTGAGACTGTATTACCATGGGTAACACGCGGTATATGCTATTATCATCTGCAACACAATATTGTCACTAAGTTTAAGGGGAAGCATCTTATGTACTTAGTCAAACGTGTTGCGTATGCATATACGGTACATGATTTTAACCGTTATATGGACGAGATAAGGCATATAAAACCTGACCTTGCAACGTACCTGGAGGAGGCAGGCATACAGTTGTGGTCAAGAGTTCACTTTCCAGGTGATAGATACAATATAAAGACGAGCAACATCGCAGAGTCTATCAACTCTGCTCTCAAACGGGCACGGGGATTTCCCATAGTATTCCTGTTGGAGTACTTACGGGCGAAGCTAACAAAGTGGTTTTGTAAAAGGCGGGAAGATGCTTTGAGTCTTCTAACCAACCATACTCGAGGAGTTGAATATTTGTTGGCAATTCGTTCACATTATGCTGATAAGTTGACGGTTGAAGGCATAGATGGTTGGCGATTCAATGTGAAAGGAGGATCACATAACTGTGTCGTTGATTTGGAACTTCGAAAGTGTGGGTGTGGCGTGTATGATATTGAGAAAATACCTTGCTCTCATGTTATAGCCGTTTCAGATGCAATGCATATGCATCTGGCCACTCTTGTATGCCCGACATACTCCAAAGATTACTTGTACGCAGCGTACTCGCATAATATATATCCTCCAAGCATTGCAATAAAAACCGATGAAACAACACAATGTCTACCTCCAAAGGTCCGACGTAAAAAAGGCAGGCAGAGGAAGTCAAGATGGCAAACTTGGCTGGAAATTTCGAGGCATAAGCAAAAGAAACCCCGTAAGATCCACAAGCAGTACAGTTGTTCGAAATGTCACCAACCAGGACATACTAGACCGGATTGTGTAAGTGTTATGTTACCTCATACTTTAAGGGTTACATTTGGTCGAAGTTAATTTCTTCTGTTTTTTTTTTTTTTTTTGCAGACGTTGAAATCAAGATAAAACCCTAAAACTATAATAGCAGACTTACACTGAAGACTACAACTAGAAGTCTTCTACCGTAGTCTGCACAAGAAGTCTGCTTCACCAGGTAAGGGAAACACTACTGAACTAAACTCTGTTTCATGTCTATGTACGATCATTCTTAATTATTGTCATAAACTATGCGATATAATAAGCTATGATTAGGGTAAACCTTAGAGTACGTGAATTATCACAAAAGCCACACTACTCTATTACAAGCGTTTAGCCTCCAAAACATACAACCACACCATTGTTCTAAATATTACTAAACAAACCGAAATTAGTTAGGAACATTATAGTTAAATAAGAGAACAACAATTCTGGCAGGTTAACCAAAAACTTCTAACCATACCACACCCAACGAGAGTCCTTTCTCTTTCATTACAGAATATACATAGTTGGACATATCACTTACCTTCGTATACGTCCAGCCATGGATACTCATACTTCTCTGTGCCGGTTACTCTTGTCTCGTCAAATATCTCAGCTGCCAGCTTGTCTCGGATGTTTTTAATGTTTGCATCGCACAAGGTCTTCGGAAATGGCATCCCTAGAGCATGGCATTCAAGGTACTTCAAGCAGTAAACGCCACAGTCACCGCTTTGTTTGTTTTGTGGGATCAAATGCCCCTTGATTCGCTCCCACGTGAATGGATCATAAGTCAGATTGATACGGTCTTCAGCAGGTGCACACTCACGGAGTATGTAGGGAACCAAGACGGTAATCGGAGTCACAGCAGCCTCAATCTGAATATCCGATGCATGAGTATTCGCATGGCTATCCCAAATGACAATATGCTTCATCGGAATCGAAATCCACATTGCCACCCAGTGATCATCAGTGATGTGTAACATCGAGTACAGGTCATCCACATCATACCCCCACGTCTTGTTACTAACGCAGTAGGTTGGGGCTGCGCCAGTGTAGTACTCAAACGAGCCAGCTGGAAGGAGCTTGCCTGAACCATCAGGGTTGGCGTGAGAGTCCACGAACTCCTTGTACTTGTACCTCCACATCGTTGCAAAGTAAGAGTCGAGGAATGTTATCCTGTCCGACCTAAACCACTCCGGATGCTTTGTAAATCGCAGCCTGAGTAGGTTAATCCCAGCTTCCATGTGCTGCATATTCAATGAAAACAATTATTCAAGCAGAGAGTAATATGTTGTGTTCATATCATATATACACTCGCGTAACTTACAGTGTCTGCTAGCCATTGTTTTGGAACTCTTAGAATGAAGTACCAGTCCACGGATGACCATTTTACCCGCTTCGGATAGTTCCTGAAAACACCACCATTTTACAATATCATCCACTACTCTTACAATGGAAAGTCTGCTTTATGCTAACTCTAAAACAAAGACTTACGGATCTTTTTTCAGACAATCAGTTAGCACACCGATCTTTTGCTTCACGTGTTTCATATCAAACGGATCATATCCGCACCCTCGGACATTTTTGTTTGGGATTATTTCCTTCGCTGTGCTGTTGGGTTTGAAAGGGCTTTGTTGTGTAGGAGCCAACTTTCGCAGACGTTCACTCTTCGCACGAGCAACCAGTTGTGCCGCCTTCTTGCCTTTCTCGTGTTTATCTTTCTGGACCTGATCGAAGTCGATGTCGCATTTTGCTGGATCAACCATAACGACACTTGGCTCTGGAGTTCCCTGCTTACCATCGTTCACGCTCTCACTTGGGACATCAGTTTGTTCATTTTGCTTAGACATAAAATTACTCTGCAAATATAAAGATTTAAACACACATCAATGAAACGAAACCAAACATCAAACATTAAAGAGTACAAATAAAAACATTAAATATTTAGTGGTGACAACATTTTTAAGGTTTTAAAACAGATTGGTAAGGTTCGATGAGAAGTTTAAAAACAAATATGGAATTTTATTTTTTCCGGGGTTTCCTTCCTCTTTTCTTTGGAGCGGGTTTTGGACTAACCCCGATATTAGGATCGGCGTCCGCGTCCGTTTGATCGTCGCCAACAGGTTTTGCGCCCTTGGCGTCTGCTTCACTAGTCTGAGCCACATCCTCCTTTGTACCTCCGGTCCCAGCTTGGAGGATCACTGCCTCTAATTTCTGCTCCACCGTTCCCAACTTTGTGTTGAGTAGTTTGATCTGAGATTCACAACTACTCAACCCATCCATCATCTTGTTGAAGCAGTCGTCCATGTGGTCCTTCAGAATCGTGACCATTGACTCATCTTCCTCACCAGAGGCTGGGCAGAACCGCTTCCGACTTCCTTGATCACCAACTGATTCCGATCGCCTCTTCAGATCGACAGACCCTTCGGACTTGACATACTTGGTCACACCTGTTGGAGGCCAATGACTCCTTTCCCATGTCCATTGTTTAGGGCCAAAATGACCATACATCGCTTTGATGATGTTGTCAGTCCTCTCGTCTTCTTCATCATCGTCTTCAATTTTCCAGCGCGGAAACATGTCGAAGAATTCCTTAACAACGTAGTTGTTAATGCGTGTCTACATGGAAATCAAAACAGAGTTATATAACGTATAATGCGGAAATCAAAACTAAGAAGTCTTCCTAAGAAGTCTGCCTAAGAAGTCTGCCTAAGAAGTCTTCCTAAGAAGTATGCCTAAGAAGTCTGCCTAATTAGTCTGCTGTATACTACAGACGTCTGCACTAGAAGTCTACTAAATAAGTCTGCCTATATAATAGTCAACCAAGTATGAATTCAGACTACTTACCTGTCGGAGCATATTCTCTTTCATAAATTTCCTCCCCCTGCATCCCTTGAAAGCTATCAGCGGTACATTGTGGTCGCCTGGAAGTGGTTCACCAAATTTAGCAGCAAAGTCGGGAAGAGCAAAGTAAACCTAGACTTGTAGTACTTGAACAAACCCCTCAATGGTGTACGACGACTTCCAAATTTTTTTCTCCTTCACCGACCGCATCAGGTTTTTGAAGGCCACTCTTCCCCAAGGGTAATTTTCAAACGCTTCTAAATCCATCACAAGCCTTGCCAACCTAGCCCTAGTAGCTGAAGATGGCTTTCGTGCTTCAATGTAACTAGTATAAATGCTAAGGTATCCCAGCCGCATTCCTTACAAGCTTCTATCAAATCTTCAGTGCTCGGGCCCAACTCCTGATTGACTCCCAATCGCTCCCAGAAATCTTTCATCTCATCAATTATCTCAACCACCCGATCCTCGAGGTTGTCCACGTACTCGCAATTCAAGCCAGTAATATGTTCGAACTCATTCAAAGAAAAGCGGATCGGGATTAGACCTACGAGGCTCCAAATCTCAAATTTTTTCTTGCAAACTAGCTGCATGCCGAGAATGTAATGCACCAGTCTAGATGCCCAGCCGAAATCCAACCGACTGAACTTCAAGAACACTCCCAGTCTAGAGTTCAATATCTCTTCCCACTCATCTTGTGTGAGTGCTTCCTCTAGTGCAGTCATCAGCTTCGTCTCACCGCTATAGTAACCGATGCTTTTCAGCGGAGACGGCTCATCGCCTTTCGAGAAGAGCCGCGGGGGGAACTTTGGGTTTTCCATTGGCTGTTCTGACGTCTGCAAAACGAAGTCCAATATTCAAGAAGTCTACTTATGAAGACTTCCGAAGAAGTCTGCACACGAAGTCAGCCAACTAAGTCTGCAATTGAAGTCTGTAGACCTAATAGTGTAATTAAAAAAGTTTCAAAAATCTAGCCGCCGACAAAGTTATCTAAAAAAACACAACCCGTTTTGAACTCCGTTTTGAACTCCGTTTTACGAGATAATACTTCCAAAATATTTCGCATAAACACTATACAAGTCCGTTTAATAAATAAAAAAAAAAGTACAAATATCTCTAATTCACAGCAACTAGAAACTTGGAAACGGGTATTCGATTTTTGTCCGACTTTGGAAATATCTACTCAGTGTTGTCCGATTTTTATAAAAACCGATGTAAAAACCCAAACGACTAGGAACTTGGAACCCGTAAAGATATTTATTTACAAATTATAAGAAATTAGTACAGCCAAATACCTTTCCACGACCAACGGCGGAAATGAACAGACGGCGAAAATAAACAGTTACGGACGGCGGCGACACCAGATCTAGAATAGAAAGCGAATGAGATTAGGGTTTGTGAATTACACAGATGACTTCTATCCAAAAGAGAAGTCGGCATTAAATTCGACTTACCTTAAACGGTAAACGGATGTACAGTAAAAACCGGCGACAAGTTCCGAGAACTAAACCCAAACGACAGTAGTTTTTTTTTTTACCGATTTGTGTTAGTACAGTGTTCGTAGAAAGTCTTATATATGACCGTAGAAACCTATTTAACCGTCGTACCGGTTCAATAACCGTCGTACCATTTCAATAACCGTCGTACCAGTTCAATAACCATCATACCAGTTAAATAACCGTCGTACCAGTTCAATGTGGTTTATCGATTTCGTTATTTAAAACGTAATTGGTTTAGCCAATTATAGCTGGTTTGCAATATAATTTTAAAACTGTCTGGTTTAGTTTATTCGACGTATTAAGTCTGCATATTAAGTCTGCTTAAGAAGTCTGCATATTAAGTCTGGTTAAGAAGTATGTCTACGAAGTCTGCATATTAAGTCTGTTTAAGAAGTCTGTCTACGAAGTCTGCATGTGTTTTTTATTAATATCATATGAAAAGTAGTTTTAGAGATTGTATGTAGAGACCCTTAACTCACGGCCTGCATATGTACACAATACACAAAGTGCACATAGATTCCCCAGTATACGAACAATGTATATGCAACAGTAAACACCAACATTAATCACCATAGAAGTCAAATACATATGTTTTATCCCAACTAGTCTACTTAAAGATTACACAAGTCTCTTGGTCCTCTATTCTACATCCCAACGCATGAAAACACAAGAGATTACTGCAAAAATAACTAAAAAAACACAAAGTAGGATATCAGAACC